ACGGGAGACTAGCAATACCAGGTGGACTAGCTCCATCATAATGTGGTCTGTGAAAAATTCCATAGCGAACCTTACACCGATCAGCCCTATCAATCTCTGGCATTATTAGTTGATGTGAAGAACCCTTAGCATTAGCGGGTCCCGTAAGCCATATGCGCTCTCAGAAACCGACACTGTTTGCAATGGAAATGGGAGAAGCGGCGCATCCTAAATCGATCGTTGCTGCGTTTTCATCTCAAGCTTTTTACAAGTGAACATCTACCCTGTTCACAGGCAAGGTTGGTATCGGTTCTGGCGAGGTAGGAGATCGTATTTGGACCATTGGGGAAAGGTGTTCATATCTAGGAACAGGGACAAAGACTTCTAGGGGTACTACAATACTAATCTTCATGTAATTACGTAAATCACCCATTACCAATCCCTTACTTGAGGCAGTCCAGCTTTCCTAAAATTAGTATGAGAGTTACAGTTCGGTTGGAAGTATGGTGATAGAAATGAAATCGACGAAATCATTCCCGTCGTTTTCTTCCATTTGTAATGGACCGCGTTCCTCTAGGTCTCTCAGATCTTTGTACCCCTTCGCTTGTCTTCCCTGCGCTTCGTACCATTTCTTTACTGTTTGCATTTTGGCCTTCATTTAAGCCCTTCATGTGGGCTTCCTGAGGGGGTGCTGCTCTTATGATTCGCCCAACTTGACTCGCTTTACATTACTACTGTTTTACTAGTTCGTACTCATTATTGTTATTACTTTCTATTTATTCCTATACGTTTGTTTAGTCACAACCGTTACCTGCACAACCGTTTTCTCCTCCAGCATTTGTTGCACCGCCGCCTCCGCTGCCCGTTAAACCTCCTGTGCAGAATAATACGCCCGCCCAGGTACTTCCTAATTATCTAAACAGTCATTCGTGTTATGATTTTACCTAACTTCAAAGGTATCGGATCCATTTGCGCCAGTTCCTCCAAAGAATACAACAACAGAGTTTGATCCATTTGCTGATTTCGATGCGAAATTCAGCGAACTTGCTTTGAAAAACTCGTCCACTGTCAGTGCATTCGGTTCGCCTTTGCCAGGTTTGCTGAAGAGATGTATGTTTTTTTCTTAGGATAACTACCTTTGAATACATACGATAACTTTGTAGCTCAGCCGCTTCCGAAATCCGCCACAGTTGATACTTCGTTTCGTACGGCGCAGCCCACAAGCGCTGCACAGCCTGCTAATCCATTCCAAGCTCAGGTATGTCTTTTTTTATTGCTTTCGCCAGCTTCTGGTGTAGCTTCAGCCTATTTAGTTAATTCTATGTTTCTTCTTTAGATACCGGAGCAGGGGCAGTCGTTCAACACTGCCACCCATACTGAACAGGCGCCCATCTCAAGTAACGCTGAAAGTGGTGACAAATACAGTGCACTGGCGGAATTAGATCAGGTAAGTAGGTTGCAACGCGCTTCGTGGGTAACAACACATAACTTTTGTTCCAGATGTTCCATCATAGCGGTCACACGAACGCGGTAGGTGGAGAGAAGCCAGCATGGATGCCAAGTGGTACGTCCACAGCTTTTAGTAAGTAGTTGAACAGTACCCTCTTGAAGTCGTATCGTTCGTGGGCCCAAGTTCACGAGATATACTTCGCTTTTTTTCTGCCATTTGACGCGGCTCTTATAATGTCTAATGCTTCTCTAATTTTGAACCCATTTGGGAAGTAGTGCGCGACCCGAATTGATTGATTAGCGCTGAATTTTTTCTGGTATTTTTCGTGTCTACCTCCTTAATGCTTACTTGCAGGATTTTCTACTGGTCTCCCTCCAGCTCACTACAGTCCAGCATTTGGTGAGCCTGCACAAGCGCAGAGAATGGCGTCTTCTGGTTTTGGCTCTATTCCAAAAAGCAATACCCTTGGAGCGATAGCTGAGGTGGGACTAGCAACGGTTCCACAGACTACGGCATCATTCGACGTTATGCAGCAGCAACCTTTCTCTAATTCTTACGGTACGTATTTTTCCGCTGATTACTGTATCAACCCAGCTATGTTTTATATTATATGAGGTTTCCTACATTTGGCTACTCGGTCGTAGTTCCCATATTATGTTGTATTTGTCAGAGATCAGTAAAAATTCTATGATTTTGCTTGGTCTGGCTGTGCGGCCGCTTAGGCTGCTTTCAGACCTCAACGATTCATCCGTCCGTCCGTCCGTCCGTCCGTTCAGCGCGTGC